TTCATAAATACTTTAAAATTATGTATCCTATTTTAAAATGTTTTTTTATGGGTTGTTTGTTTTAAGAGTTCGTCCTTAATTTTAAATCATGGTTCTTTATTCTCTACAGTATTTTTCTCTCATAAAAAATTAGAATCATGAACCATAATTCTGAACCCATAAACTAAACGTCATCTTAATTGTTCAAAACACTCAAATGCCCTTGATATATAAAAAACAGTTCAAAATGCTCCCCCCATCCACTACCGTCTACAATCTTAACAGATCCGCTGACGTCTAAAGATATTAAATTCTGATTGAACCTATAACAATATGATTAAATATTAAAAAAATAAATAAATCAACTAATTATTTTTCAGAAAAAAGTCTTCTTCCCTACCTCTCAAAGTGCATACTATTGTGTCGTTCATTTTACCAATTCGAGTTTGGAATTCAAATTTTGTTACAGTAAAGAGCTCTAAAAAACAGTCACATCTGACTTTTTTACTACAGTAAGAAACTATCACATAAAGCCACATCTCAACTCGAATTAAAAACTTAAATCAGCGAACTAAACGGGCCCTTTTCCAAATCCATCTCATTCAAACACTTCCAAACTAAAAACAACAGTTTTGTTAGGGAAAATACCAAATTTAAAAGAACATAAACAAAAAATCAACATATGTAAAATTAACCCCATCGGCCGCCGCCCCTCCAAGGCCTTCCGACCCTACCCTTGTACGATTCTAAGGTTAGGGTTTTGGAGGGTTGGGATTAAATCGCTATGTATACACATATGTTTTAGTTTTAGTGGAATTAAATCTAAATCTCGCTTTTCACGAAAAAGTGAATTTGGCAATTTGATTTTGCGGGTGATGTTTGGATTCTTTGGTTGGAAACGTAAGTTGAAAGTATAGGCCTCGTTCATTTCACCGATTTGAGTTTTCAATTTTAGGTTTCTACAGTAAAAAGCTCTCAGAAAATGTCACATCTAACTTTTTCTGCTACAGTGAAAAGCTCTTAGAAAATGTCACATATCAGCTCAAATTAAAAACTCGAATTTGCGAAGTGAACGAGGCCATAATATTTGGGTTCTTGCAGCAGATAAGAGCAAGAGAGAGAGAGAAGTGGGACGAGGAGAGAGAGTGTAATTTTTTTTTTTAAATAAAGTTTTTCTAGTGTTATTTTTAGTACTTGATTATTTTTATATAATAGAGTAATGAAATTAATTATTTTTTAATACATGCCATGTGAGTAAATTATTTGTCAATGACTTTTAATTAATCTTTAAAAGCATGTCACGACAATAACTCTGTTAAGAGTATTACGCAAAATGAATAGATGAGGCGTTTTGAACTGTATATATTAAGGGGTTTTGATCTGTTTTAAAAAAATAAAAGACATTTTAAAATAAAATACATAATTTAAAGGTATTTATGAAAATAATCCAACAATAAATGGGTGTTGGCATGAGGGCATTGTCGTTGTTTTTTCTTTTTAGGCGCCCATTCTTTCTGGTTTATTCTAGTTCCTCTTTATGCATGCACTACACCACTGCCATCCAATTAAAAATAATTTGTTTTTTGATTCGTGAATCACAAGAGTTCTCCAGTCCTATAAAGCCTCTTTAATTACAAGTGTAAACACCGTAACTAATAACATTCTATATCGATTTGTAAGTAAGTCCCGTTCTTTTCGCTGATTTGATTTTATAATTTGAGTTTTATTACAGTAAAAAACTCTCAGAAACAGTCACATCTAACTTTTTTACTATAATAAAAAGTTCTCACACAATATCACATCTCAACTCAAATTAAAAACTCAAATTAGCGAACCGAACGGATGTACAAAACTCATTTTTTGCCGATGTTCTATTCTTATGCAGTCACGAAGTCAGAAAAAATTTTCAGGGGACTTGAATTAAATTATAAAATTTCAAATTAAATTAATTGTGTAATAAAATATTATTATATTAAATATTAAGAGTGTTTATGAAATTTTTTTAAATGTTCTGTACAATATAGAATTAAAAATCTTCAAAGGGGCAGAATAATATAAACTTTGCATCAAACTTAAAGATATAAATAAATTTTTTAAAAAATTTAACATAAAACTTAAAAATGGAAAATTTTAGAGGGGGCTAAACAAGAAAAAATAGGCAAAGCAAATTTTTTTTTGAATAACACCAAAGAAGCTAGCTGAGGCTCAGGGTGAGCTACAGACCCCTCTGAACGTAGCTACGTCCCTGTTCTTATGAATAGACGGACTTTGATTTGCCAATAAAATTTACTAACTCACGAAGTCTTTGTTTATTTTACCAGTTTAATCGAGTTCAATTCAATTTAAATAATAAGTACAGTTTAAATTGGTGCGTGATAAGTATGTAATTTGAATTATATTTTTTATTTAAACTGAGATAAACAGTTTAATTTAGAGTTTAATTTTTATCTCAAGTTTAACCGTTCAAATTATTTTTAAAAAATAAACCGTTTACTCATTTTACTTTTTACACTTATTAAATATAAATTTTAACTGCAATTTAAATTATACAAGACCTCGTTCACTTTGTGGATTTAAATTTTTAATTCGAGCTGAGATGTAGCATTTTCTGAGAGCTTTTCACTGTAGCAGAAAAAGTTAGATGTGACATTTTCTGAGAATTTTTTACTATAAAAACTTAAAATTAAAAACTCAAATCGGTGAAATGAACGAAGCATTTTTTTGTTTAAATTAAAAAATTTAAACAATAAAATTTAAACTAACAAATTAAACGAGACAAAATATGTTTGCATAAAACCCAATAAATTCAGATTAGCAACAAAAAAAAAAAAAAAAAAAAAAACCAATAAATTATGGTTTTGTAATTTATGTGAAAGATATTTTTGAAGAGTACTAATGATGTGCATGACAGTATATCACGGCAGAGTTGAGACCATGGAACTATGGAAGGGCACGTAATCATAGCCATTACTAGCTTAATTGAGGGGCCTCATGGGGGGACCACAAGGCTCTATGTGATCCCCTTTTCAAGACGAAAAAGAGAGGCAATAGATCGTACTACTTTGTTTTTATCTCTTATCCCACGTAACCCATAAATAATACTATGTACATTTTTATATTTTTATGACGGCCTATTTCACTTTCACAAACTATCCCTTAGCCAAAATCAAACAAATATGACCCAATAAGCATAATTAAAGTGGGATTTTTGGTAGCCAAACGACACTGGATCGTGGAATTAATAGGGTAAAAAAGATGAAGAGTGTCTTTATATGATAAAGACATCTATCGATCATAGTTTTTGAACGCGTTCACTTTATTAACTCAACTTTATTGATTTGAGTTAAAAAAATTAATTTGAGTTGTAAAAAATTTAAGTTTAGTTTAGACTTTAAGTTAGGTGTTTAAAAGGAGATTGATTTGACGTTTAAAATTTGAATTTTGTATTCATTTGTAGTAAAGTTAAACACTAATTACAAAGAAGTGTCATTTTTTACATAGACAGTTCACACTGTAGAAGCAAACTTGAGTAGTGAAAAAATAAGGAACTCGAGTTATTACTCGAATTTGAAATTTGAGTTGTACTTAATAAACGTATAATTCAATTTAATTTCACACTTAAGTTGAACTTATTCGAGCGTGATCTACGAAATGAAGGACTAATTTATTTTTAAATAATACATCTGATTAAAATTATATTAAACTGACCGTTTAATACCGATTTAAATATTCAAAAATAGAACCCATTATATACATTACAGTAGAATTTTTTAAAAAAGAAAAAGTTTGTTGATGTAAGGACCTACAAGAGTGAGAACTGCCGAGCTAGCATGGGCCCTAGCCTCCACCGCCTGGCCTCCAATTGTGTTTTGTATTCTGTGGAAGAAGCTAATTAGGAGTTCTAATCATATATTTTTCGGTGGTCTTGCATTGGGTATTTGAGGGAGAAGAGAAGAAAAAATAAAGGAGGAAAATGAAAAAAGATATTCCTCCAGACCTGTTGGTCTGTTTGGATGCTTGCAATTTGTGGTAAGGAGGGGCCCTGTTTTTTTTGCATGGCCTGTTGGTTTCTAAATAACAATGTCCATCGATTAGCCAAAAAAAAAAAAAAAATAAATAAATAAATAAAAGATGTCCATCAAAATAAAAAGAAAAGGGTGATAAATGTTGGTCATGATTGCGAAATTGGGCATATAAAGTTGCATAAAGTTGGCCGACAACTTATTTAGATAAGAGCCCTGAATAATTGAGGAACAAAATTTGGAATGGAAGCATTGAAATTTGGAGGTCATTTTATGCCAAAAGCAGCTGACATGGGAACCAAAAAAAAAAAAAAACATAGAAGAAAAAAAATTTCCTCATTTTTCCCAATAAAATGCTTAAGCACTAATCATTTAAGTAAAAAGAAAGTTAAATTGAAATTAGATACGCTACAATTTCCTTCTTTATTTCTTTAATTTCAATAGCTATTTTTAGCTTCTAGTACCCTTTAACATTTTTCAGTTCTTCAATAAAACAAACTCGAGAGTCAATTTCTCACCACCAAAAATTCAAGAACTTATCTTTATTAAAAAAAAATGCAAGAACTTATTCGTTTAGGATAATTTATATCAGGATATGAAAAATAAAAATCTAAATAATAAGACGTAATTTAAAAATTCCATATTATATAATTTTCATATCAAATAATTTAGAATAGCAAGACAGTTTAACAAAACTTGATAAAACCAGAAGACTCAAAACTATAGATGTTTACCAAACGAATTTTTTCTTATCCAACCCCAAAAAAATATCTCTATCTGTTTTTACATACTTTTATTTTATTTTATTCTATTTTTTATTTTGCTCTCACTTGTTTATTCTACTTAATTTATTTTACTCTATTACCATATGGACAATTTGTTTTCTCAATGAAAGCGCCTACTCCCATGTGGACATAGATATATGTGTGTGTGTTTATATATAGTATGCACACACACATTATTATGTCAAGAAGTTATCCAAATTCCAAAGCTCTCCTTTTTTTCACCTCTCTGTAAAGATAAGCTCACATGCTCTCCTCTCTCTCTCTCTCTCTCTCTCTCTCTCTCTGAATAGAGCCTGATTTCTTATAACCAGTTTAAAGTACTTCAACAAGCTTACTCATAAGTCATAACCTCTCCCTCTCTCTCTCTCTCTCTATATATATATATATATATATATATTTCTCATGAAGACTTGTTAGCATGAGAATGATGTGACCAAATTCAGATGTTACAAAGGAGCTAGGAAAACCAAAAAAGAAAAAATGGTGGAAGAACAACATGGCTATGCGTGGCCACCCATCGGAGCTCCTCTGAACATGCAAAGAGAGGATCAGAACGCGAGATATTTCGACAGCTCGGTCAATGCGGTGTCGTTTGGGTTTGTTGCTACGGCCATTCTGATATCCATGTTCTTGGTCATGGCCATCTTTGAGAGATTCCTCAGACCCACCTCGCCGGATTTGTCGCCGTCCGGTCGCCGGACCCACCGAGATCTCGAAACCCAGTTGGGCTTCAATGCCAAGCTTGCTCATCCCTCGCCCAAAGTAAGTTTATTCATTTCGCTTTCATTTTTACAAATTCTGTTTCTTGGGTCTTCTTTGGGATATTGCATGTTGATGTGATATTTTCAAGGTGATTTGTTTTTCTCGGAAAAATGCTAGTTTAGAGAACCAAAAGTGAGAATGGTGGGTACTTTGAGGAAAATGCGATGGGTATTCTGCCCGCCCCCCCCCCTGTATTGATTTTTTTTTTCCTTTTTTACAGTTTTGGTGGTTATTTTGAACATAGCGTGGTCTGCATAAAGATATGATTATTTTTCTGACAAAGTTATTCTTTTTCTCTCTTTCAAAGTTTCCCTTTTTTTTTTTTTGTTGGCTTGAGTTTGATTCTGCATTTTAGGCTGTTCATCGTTAATAAGCTTCATGGGCATTTGATGAGTTGCTTTTGCTTTAAATGGTGTAGTAAAATTTTTTGTCCCCTTAAAACTTAGCTATTCTTGGAAATTTCCTTGTGCATCTGATTTCAAAGTTTTCCCTTTGTCCAAGTAAGGGAAAACTTCACTCTATAATCAATGAAACTACACAATGCCGTCCACTTGTGGCCTTCTTCTTCATTTTGATTTTTCTTTTTTCCCCCCCTGGTGAAAAGCATTTTGGTTTTCACCCTCATTTTAGCTGCACTAAAGATCATTTGAGCTAAAACTTCTGCAATATCAAATTTGGCTTTTGACATGATTTCCATTTTGTTTGAACAAATCTTTTTTTTTTCTTATTCTTCAGACAAACACATTTATTATGTGTGGAGACTCTGCTTTGAAAGAAGTAACCTGTCTTTGTAGTAATTATGATTTTGTTGGGGGAAAAGAGGCCCCATTCAAGTAGTTGTGTGTTGAGTGGTTGGGTACTTGGTCCCAAGCCAAATGGGTCTTGGTCTTAGAACTGTACTATAATAGTAGTTCACCTGGGACCCACCACTCTTTTGTGTTTTTAGGCCACCGGATCAGTCACCAGCAATCCTTTATGATACCCCGCATGGCCACAGCTTTGGTGGTCAACCTTACTTTTGTAAACCATGTTTTAGCTTTGGTGGTCCTTTGTCTTTGTCTTTGTTTATTTACTTACTTGCTTCTTTTGTGTATTCCAAATCCCACTAACTAAAAACTTCACTAATAATGGGAGAGCATCAATGTAAATTTGATTAGCTTGACTCTGAGATATGTTGTTAAGGATTTGGTTCAGTCTAATGAACTGAAGTGAAATCAGGATTTGGTTCAGCATATTTGAATCGTCACTCTGTAGTTACATGGAGGTGAAAAACAGGTTTCTACTTGTGCTAACCGTTAAGAATTAGGGTCTCGACCCTAATTCTGTATTACTGGGAGCAATAAAATTGCAAAAGAAAATCAAACAAGTAAGAACACACAAGATTTATAGTGGTCCACCCTCAATGTAAGAGCTAAATCCACTTTCAGTCACTGTAGTAATTCATTATGATGAAAAGAAGTTCGATACGTGTATTGTCGCTAATAATTAGACTTCACAACTAAACTACGAGTTCACTTCTAACTAAAATGTTTTTCAGTATCGTTTGTCTACATGGATTCTTATTCCACTGTTGAGAATTTCTCATTGTTTCATAGACTATTCTTGAGGAAATGGTTTGCCTATTTCAACTATTTGATATTTGCTTCTTACATATACGGTGGGGTCTCTCAATGCCCGGTTATATATATGTCTTGATCATTAGTTTAGAAAGTAAAGAACTTGCCTCACCAAAAAACTCTTATGCGATTGGCTTAACTGAATTTTGCTTTTGTTTATTCTCATTGCTGCTCACGCATTGTGTTTATTGGTCCTTGGTGTTTATCATTGATTTGAATTTTGGATTAGTTGTCCATATAAATCACTATCATAGAGTCATGATGGATGACTATGTTCATATCCGATTTATTATTAAATTATTTCTTATGATGACTACTGATCCCACCTAATGAGTACCTACGTATATCATCTTAGTATACAGAAAAAGAAATATTGAATTAGTGGCCCCGCAAAGAGCATAATTAGCAGTGGAAATCTACCAAGCTCTTCTGCTATAGACAGTGCTTTCTTAAAAATTATATATCATGCTCTTGTTAATTGTTATGCCTATTTTATTTTGATTTTCACATGATTCATGACTCTTACTTTCTGTTTGCTTTTCTGATTTTAAGGATTGCGCGTAATTGCGCGTAACATGGATAGCATGCTTAGCTCAACTTTGATACAAATATGGAGTTTTAGTCTTATTAACTTAGGTAGCACCTGCTGCTGGTTAGTCATTATGTGCGAGTTAGTCAACCCTGCTTGTGTTTTGCTGGTATCTGAGGGAAAGTTTACCAAACTATAATTGCATTAATGGAAAAGGTAATGGGTTTGGAAAAAAAAAAAACGGTTAAAAGAATAAGAATGGAGATTATTTATTCACTTTCTAGTGTTTATTTATTTATTTATTAGAAAGCGGAATTGAGCAATTAAATAACCATTGGCTGTGAACTATTAAGGGTGTAAAATTAAATTTGGCGTAAGAATTGACATTCCTTTTTCCTCGTTCCTGTATTATATGGCGCTCACCAAACTACCATTCAACACATGATTAAATGTGAAAGGGAATACTATTCCTTTTTCTCACTCTAATAAGTTTGTTCAGTTTTGTGAATTGCAAGCTCAGGGATTGATTCCTTTTTTTTTTTTTTTTGTTGTTGCAGATGACTATTTATGCGAGTGGAGTCTCTGTTTTGATGCCTGGAGACAACATTCCAACCTTCATAGCGCACCCGGCGCCCGTCCCTTGTCCTCCAGACCGCGTTTCATGGCCCCAACATCAACATACTTCATTGCCAACTCTTCCCTCGAACTCCTCGACCTCAAACGCAAACTCAAATCCACAAGTTCAAAACTAAGAAACAAAATGTCCCCGTGTTTCATGTCGGATTTGATTCCTCATTTTATAAACTCAAGCAGAAGGTACTGAGGAATGTGCATGGCAAGCAATTCTGGGCCACATTCAATCAGTTTGCCCCTTTTTTTCTCTCTGCAAGAGCTCTTTGATTCTGTATATAACATTCATAGATTGGCAGACCAAATGCACTTTGCTTCAGATCCCTGACCATGTTGCGTGGTATCAGATTTTCCAAAATGACTTGGATCCATAGAGATGGATTATATATTGTTGCCCCATCAAATGGATCAATCACTCTGTAATAAAAAAAAAAAAAAAAAAAAAAAAAAAAAAAAGGGGAAAAAAGAAGAAGAGTGTAATATGTATGATGGAACTTTTCAGGCATATGTTACAATTTACATGACATATAATCTGCTTAGCTTCATGATTCTCTTGTTATATTGATGTGCAGCAGTTTGTGAGATGATGCTTTAAAAATTTAAAAGGAAATAGAAAACAAAAACGGAACTTGGAGACTTTTTAATACATTATAGGTTTTTAATATATGGTTGGACTATATTGGAGTTGTTTTAGCCCATTATGAGTAGTGCCCTCCAGTAATAAATAGGAAAATACATGATATAGCATATTTTATACTCATCATTGAAGTGAATAATAGCATATTTTTAAAATTTAATAAATTATAGCATATTGTCATTTTGTTTTTAAACCAAACAGTTTTATTTCTAATTTTACCCCTTTCAAATTTAATACCAAATGGTAACCATAATCTTATCTCTCCCTCTCTCTTTTCCAGCCATGCCGCCGTTTCTCTTCCTCCCACAGCAATCCACATTGATGTCATTGTCGAAGGCTGCCATAGCTAGAGCTCTTCGCTGGCACCGATTCAACTATCATGAGGCATCCTTCTCCAGCGCCGATTCAACCTATCGTGAGGTCTGATTCTTTTCTCTGATTCGTCTCCCTCTCTCTCCTCCATATGTTCTTCTCCCTCTCGCTCTTCGATTCTCTCTCTACTCCGTCAGTTTCTCTCCCTCTCTTTCACCTCCGTCAGTTCTTCTCTCTCTCTCTCTGTTTCTCCTTGGCCGACCGAGACCTAAAGTAACGACTGCTACGATCGGGAACGTCACCGTCGCGTTGCGAGTCGCAAAAGGCTTCTCCATGGAGGATATGAGATCAGCGACTTGCATTCAAGAGCAAATCCAGGATCTCCTCTCTCTGTTTTTGTAACGCCCCTCCGAACTAGTAGCTAAAAACAACGCCGCCAGCTTGAGAAAAAGTTAACTAAAATAAAAATATTACTACTTAATAGAGAAATAATATATATTACAAATATAATCTCCGAACAAAATTCTTAGGAATACAAATTTTATTTCTTAAGATCTCCTAACTTATCGTGGGACCTTGAACCATTCTTACTCAGTCAATTTGAACTTCTATTTTAGCACTTACCTGCATCATGAGAACTATATGAGCGCAAACTCAGTAAGTAAACCATAAATAATTTCGTATATCCACTTTTAAATAGTTATCTCAAATTTTTAGGACCCTCTTATATAATATTATTCTTGTGTTATTAGAACTTCTTTCATATGGCCCATATTATGAAATCTCTTATTCGTCTAGTATTTGGCCTTTCATCATATTTCAATCAGTTTATAATAAACACAAAATTCACATCATAGTCAGAAACACTTTTCAAATTTCATGAAAACATGTTAACAATAATATATATAAACTGAAAATTTTCATTAAAAATATATTACTGTTAGTAGAAAGTTAGAACCTTTTATCAAACATCAACTTATCTTTTATATATATAACGTTGATGAGGTCTTAAGATTGCTAACAAAACAGATGACTAACCAGGCTAGTTTAAATACATATCCACGTGCCATTTTTTTTTTAAATTGAACTTGCTGCAAGATAATAGGTGGACACATATACTAAGCTTTATTGTAAGTAATGCATGTGGCGTAGCAATAACACTCACAACTTAAGCCGTAGCTAAGACAAATGCTAAGTAGCTTACTAACCAAGCCTATAAAGAATGAACTGTCAAGTTTGTATTCTCCTAATAACTGATCTTTCTTCATGTATCACACACATACGTGGTAGTTATCAGTTCTAATCCACTTTCATATGCCACCTCAAACTTTAATAAAAATATTTACAATAAAAATCGTAATATTCTATTTTACTACCACCTTTCTTAATTCAACAAACAATACAAATAAGTTTTTCTCCCAAATCGTCGGATGATTTGGGAAGTGTCGTGATCAGAGATCGTCACCAAACTGAAATTGATGTTGCATCGGCCACTGAGTGTCGTTGTCCCTGCAGATCTTCATTGCGAGAAGAACAGATCTCCGACACTCGATGTCAATCGCCGGCTTTGCGGTGGTCGGTGACACTCAATTGGAAGCAGGTTTTGAGGTTATTTGGCTGGTTGTTTCTTTGTTTTGCTGGATCTTTTGTATTTTTTTTTTTTTGGGTGCATTATTTGGTGATTTTTGTTTGAGTTTGTGAGTTTTAGATTGAGTTTGTTATTTCACGATTTTTGTTCTTTTTTGTTGTAATTTAGTTACTGGTGAGAGTTTCTGATAGAATCTAAAAGTTTGTGATTTATTTTTTTTTATTTTGGATTTTGAATATGGTAAATATTATATTTATCAGTATTAAATTTAAGTTTGAATCTGATAAATACTGCATTGACCAGTAAATACTTCACTAAAATCAATTTCTAATCTGGTAAATATCGTAAATATTTAACTTAATCTAATTCTCAATCTGGTAAATACTGCATTTATTAATAACTACTTTACTGAATCTAATTTTTGATCTGGTAAATATTGTATTTACTAAGAAATGATTTATTGAATATAATAAATACCGCGTTTATCACTAAATACTTTACTGAATAAGTTTGAATATAGTAAATATAATATGGTAAATATTGTATTTACCTTTAAACATGGATTTACCGGTAAATACGGTCACTAAATTTTCAAATAAAAATAGTAAATATGGTATTTATCGATAAATATGGTATTTACCAGTCGCCGGGGCCGGTCGTTAGACTTTTGGATAAATATGATAAATATGGTGTTTACTAGTCGCCGGAGCCGGTCGTCGGATTTTCAAATAAAAATGGTAAATATGGTATTTACAAGTAAATATGATATTTATCAGTCACTGGAGCCGGTCGTTGGCCATCAGTTACCGGAGCCGGTCATGGTGAACTTGACTATAGGGAGAAAAAGTGGATGGTGGAAATGAAGCTTAAGGGTATTTTTGGGTTATTAATAATGTTAAAAACTTAAATCTACTATCTTAAAAAAATATGCTAAAATTTATGAAACATCATACTAAATATGTTATTTCTCTCATTCTTCCTAATAAATAAGTAACACTAACCGGTGGTTTCATTTTTTCAAGCAAAAAAAAAAAAAAAAACATGTGGTTCTATTTTATTTTAATAGCGTTTTAATTGAATTTACCAATGGTTGTGATTTACAGTTAAGGTTGAGTCATTAAATGCGTTGTGTTTCTCACGTCTGAAGTAGTTATTGTATCTTTTTAATTTGAAATGTAATACTCATTTTCCAAAAAAAAAAGTAGAGCTAACGGTCCCACTTCCTTCATGAACTTAAGCCAATGTCGTGCTTCAAAACTAGATTTTGCAGGATTTTTTTATGGTGCAGGGAGAAATAATTTCTGAATCTGACATTAGTACTTACAAATTTAAACTTGGTGTTATGCATCACATTTAAAAGCCAACATATTTGTGAACTTCGAATGTTAAATTACTATTCGAACCTTGTTATATAGTGTACTAAATACACTAGAAATGACAGGGAAAAGAAGGTGAAAAACATAATTTGCATTTTGGAAAGTTCTTTTACTTGGGAAAAAATGGCATACAAAATAAGACATGTTTTATTCAAGAATAATGACTTTCATGTTGTTTTTTTTTTTTTTTTTAGCAGTTGCTCTCGAATTTCTTGTGATTGGGCACTCATTTCCGAACTTTTTTCCTTGAATTCAGTGCTTGAGCTCAGAAACTGATAGCAATCAACTCCAAATGTTAATGGAAGTTCCATTTCGGAAAGAATAATTATACATTTTTTTAGCACCTATCCCCTTGAACTTATCGTAAGTCAACACCATCATCCCCGTAAAAATTATTCTTTGGTGATTCAATCCCTGAATTCGTTTTAGAATTCCCTAAAATTTAATTCTGGTTAACCATTAGAGTTAATTGCTACTCTTGAAAATTTAAAAACTAAATGGCATGTCGTCTTTTGTTCCTAAAACGTCATCTTGTACAATGGTGAAAACGACATGAAAATATACGGCGTCTCCTTTAATAGGGATATGCAGAAAGTAAGGTTCTTTTCCGCCATTTTGATCAATTCTAGGTCTTTTTCTTTATAAGATAATCGTCATTCGTTCGTGATATAAATAAAACATGCCCTTTTTTCGCATAAGAATGACATGTGGGGACGTTTAGAAGGGAGATTCGTGCCATGATTCGAATCATGATTCGTAATTCGCTACAGTATTTTCTCTCATAAAAAACACTCGTAAAACGAGAATGATTCTGAATCTATGAACCAAACGTCCCAGTAGTTCTTTCACACCATCGTTTAAACGGCATTACTTAGGACGATACAACATGTCGTCAGATAAATGTGTGTGCCATTTTAGCTAGACTTGTTTATTTGACACATATTTTTCAGTTATATATGTTCTTAAATAACAAAAATTTGTAATTAAACTAAAATGATGAATATAAAAATTATCATTTCTTCTATATATATATATATATATACACACACATATATATATAATCACACTTATCCATATATATAATCACGATTATGTATGGATAAGTTATGATTAGTTAGTAACAATAAAAATAATAATAGATCATCGTAATGTACTGTAATTACCATCAAAATGCCTTTTTTTCTGCTAATCCTTCATTCTAGTATTTAGTATACACCAACAACGCATATATTAGTACCAAATCAGACAATTCCATTTGCGTTCGATATTTTGTTTTGACCAATATTGTCCGATTTTGCATGAAAAATGGAACAAACCGCGCCCATTACTTGGATGAAAACGAACTTATGTATAGGGACTTGGAAGAGCACCCTATTCAAAAATTGCAGGTACAAATCCCTAGACCGTTGAAAAAGCCAAACTTCCAATCCTCAACACTATCTTTGGTCTCTTCTATTCCTTGGGCTTGATATATATATATATATATAAACCATACAAGACATTCCTTCTTTGTCTATTCAATATGACACGACTGGATTACAAAAGAATGTCGTTTGCTGCATGAATAAGACGGCCAAAGAAACAGTCCAAAACAACTGATATTTGCTTTCGGCACGAGTCATCACGAAAACAACGGGACAAAATATTGCATCCCAATCCCCAACGGCTACAAAGGGGTCTTCCCACAGTACATTCTCAAATTCAAATTGCATTCTCCAAGATACAAAACAGAACAAAGGACTAGCAATGATCTTACGTTCATCATATTAAACTCCGCTTTTCAAGAGCACAGAGTGATTAAGTAGGAAAACTTTGCTCCAAAAAATCATTTTTTTTTTTTGTGTATTAGGGCTCATCTCCAAGTCGGGATGTTTAACATTTTTCTTTCAAGTAATTAGGTTTCGCTTTTTTTTTTTTTTTTTAAAATAATGAAAAAAAATGAAATGAGAAATTATGGTTTTTTTTTTTTTTTTTCTGTTGAGCTATAAACGGTAAATTTACCAAAAAAGGAGACTTTTTTCGGTAGTTGTACTAGTTTCTGATCGTTGAATCTGATTAAAATGATATCAAATTAAAAATGTATGGAGAACAGACATTATTGATACAAATCTAATTATTAAAAAGTAAACAACTAATATTTTATTTTTCTGATCCTATTATAAAAAACTCTCCAAAAGTTAAAAATATGGGAACTGTTTATATCAATACAAATACGTTGCATCATTATTTTTTTTTTTTTCCTTTTTTTTGGGGGGGTGGGTGGAGAGTGGAAAGTTTGTACATTAATGTTAAAATTTTCTTACCGGTATTTTGGAGTCTTATATTAATAGTGGAATGCAGCCGTGATTAGCTCGCTGGGATTTGAATCTCATAACCTTTTGGTTTATGTGTAATAAGCAAAATATTACATCAAATCCAAATTCTGATTTGGTCCTTACCTTGTGGACAATGCGTGGGCCAGCATGATACAAATTCGCCATGCTGTCTCACTGTTATCTTAAAGGGTCAAAGGAGAAAAAAAGAAAAAAAAAAAAAAAGTGGAGAAGCCATTTTTGTAAATTACAAAACAATTCTCCTCTCCTCGAAATTAAGAAAGCAAAATTCCAAAGCAAATGAATTGTCTTTTAAGACTCGAAAGTCGCGAAGCAAGGAACCTTGTTGTCCCACAAAGCACCAATGTAATTCACAAATAGAGCCGACAAGGATTAAAAATACTCTTATATGGAATCATATGTGTGGTAGGGCTTAGGGGCTCTTCCATCAAGCGTATTCCCCCTGGATCATGTCCAAGCCAAGGAGGTTACTCCGAATAGCACGATGATTGAGACGAGATTCGGCATTTTTAAACCACAAGACGCTCAGATTCCAATTCAGTTGTAAGTGTAACCAACCTGCTATTAAAGATATGACCGGAATAAATAATAGAAAAAAAGCTCCATTATAAAGATCTCCATTAGTACGTAAACTGATTATATACTACCATTGATAAACACCAGAATAAGCGATATTCATTGGGCCAAGAGCACTCCCTCGAGTAAAAGCTTCCACAGCCTGTTGACCAAAATGAGGACCCCAAATTGCATGAGCAATAGGTCTTACATGTAAGGGGTCCTGTACCCCATGCCTTAAAGTTTCCTTGCCAAGCTACATGAAACAAATGTCCGGAAGTCCACAAAAAAATTATTGCTAATTACCCGAAATGCGAGGTAAAAATATTTTGATAAAGACATTCTTCAGTAATATCATCATGACTCTCGAAATCATCTAAGGTAATTATTAAGGAGACAACTAGTAGAGGACTTCTTTTCTTTTCTTATCTTTTTTAAAGGGTAACTTAGGATAAGTGGAGGACAATATTGGTGACAAGTTCATAGATGATGAAGAGAAATTATGTTAACGGTTAAAAAATGTAACCTTTTAGCTAAAGAAAAAAAAGACAAATCGTGAACTCAGATTGTTTCTTTCTATCATACCACACTTCAAATTTAAGTTGCATGGTAAATTCTAATAAATATGCTTTAATTTCTTCTCAAAGATTCACTTATATTATACATATTGTTATCTCTATTTTTTTTTTAACTTGAGGGTGGGGGATACGAACTCCACACTTTATGGTAGAGTCGGGAATAAAATTACCGTTAGACTGTATTTATAACCACATATATGGTCATGTACTTAGCCATCAAACAAGTTCATCACAGCTTTAACTCTGAAAGAAAAGGCAAAATTTATTATGACAACTTAATATGTGACTCGATAATGTAATCAACTAAATACCTCACCATATGCAAATTGAAGTAAGAGAATTCTATAATATACAAATAAATAAACAAAAACTTATCGAAAGTAAAGAATTCTTAACCGTCAAATTATTAACAATTTCTAATGCAAATGTGAATGTTAATGTATTATGCTTGACACTAAGAAGTGCGGACATGACATAATTCGCATGTTATTCTATTTTGTGTTTGATGCATAATATTATTTTAAATGTTATATAACTTTTCATAAGAATTATTAATCTTTGGAGCTTATTAAAGTAATTTTAAATTCTAATTTAATTCAGAAATGATAATTTTATCATGATTAATAGAAAAATTAACGCCTCAACTAGTAACTTCATATGTTAAAATTTGAAATGTACTATATTTGATGTTAATTTTGGCACAAAAATAAACTCAATACTTTTCAATAAGGAAATAAGACGTGCCACATTTAGCGTGAAAAAAAAATAATATTACATTGAAGAGTATGTTTCCTCAATAGGTAGATTTACTGATAAAGTCAGTTTCTGACTATTAGATATGATCAAAATCACATCAGATTAAAAAAATATGTATAATAGACAGTTTCTGATGAAAATCTAACGGTTAAAATGTTAATAACCACCTATAATTTATTTTTTTCAATCCTACCAAAGAAACTCTCATATACTAATTGCATATGCTTTTAGACGATGTTTAATGTCTGAGTATATGCTATGTTTGAAAAAAAATACTTTTCAAATGTTAATTTATGATGATATTTTAAATGTTACACCTAGCATGTGTTATAATTTCAAGTGTTAGAATAAATAGAATTTATAAAAGAAAATGTTTAATTTTAACAAGTGATTAATGAGTCATAAAGTCAATACTTTTCTATAAGTAAACAACGTTAGAAACAACAACGTTAAAATTAGAATATATTCAATTATAAAATTCTACTAATAGTATAAAATTTGGCATTGCACTAATGAAGATGCTCCATTCCAATTTTCTCTCACCTTAACCCCTACCTGCCAATGTACAAGCATTGAAGTATATTTACTAGTTATATAAGAAGTTTTTTCTGTTTCCTAGTACGGATTGGTAAATTGAAACCATAATTGAGGGTTCATAATTTTGATTTAAATTTTTTTAAGAGAAAACATCATAATAAAATTAAAATTATAAATTTAACACGTGAATTAAGCAAAATGCAAGTATCACTCCTTACGTTAACTTTATTATATTAATTTTTTATTTAAATAATAATATATTATATTAATAGAATAAAAATGACTCAAATGTATTAAAAAGAGTTCATGAGATTAAAATTATTTTTAATTTACGTGTATTTTTTAGGAGAAAAAATACTGTAGTGAACTATGAATCATAATTCAAATCGGGTATAAATTTTCTTACCAAACACACTATAAAAGATTAAGATATAATTTTATATGAAAATTTTTTATTATAATAAAAAAATTAAATATTACTGTTTATAAAATAAAATTTGAATCGTAAAATAATGGTGACATAAATATACTAGCATTTTGTTCTGAACCAAATGGCCCGCAATACTAGTACCAGAGATCGGGGACCAATTATGTTGGGTGCAGAATCGTCACTGCAAAACTTGAAAAGGTCAATAAATGGCGAATACGTATTCAGGTATCCAAAATGTAAGGGAAAATCTTTTTATCCCTGTCTTTTACAGACTGACCAAATCTTCCCTCCAATCTCCACAATTGACCTTTCACATAATAACTATTTACATTAAACCCCCAACAAAATTTAAAAACAAAATAAAAGACAAAGAAAAGTCATGATATCAAATAATTAGAAACTACTGAACCGGAGATTCATAAACTCCGGCCACTATTTCGACCACATTCCGTTCTCTGGGCGAGATCTATATACACTTTCCGATTCACAGAAATATGAAGCATTCCAACGACACCAACGGGTTCTCAAGCGACTCATCGGCGGTGCTTTTCGTCGGCCACTTCAGATTCTCCGCCGCTCTCCGGTTGTTCTCAGCCGTAGCCCCGTTGACCCGACCCGGAGACCTCGTCGCTCTCCTCGACGACGGACTCCTCCCCGCGCCGGATCTCATTCCCCCACCATCCGCACGCGTCATCGCCGGCGACCTCGATCTCCGAGCCGATCCCTCGCCGGAATCCCTTCTATGATGCTCCGCCGCCGTTAGACCTCTCCTGGTCATCGCCCGGCCCGGATCTCTAGCCTGAACGATCCTCACCGACCCGACACCGTTTCCGTTCCTCCGGCCCGGAGACTGGTCGGATCTCCGCGACGGCGACTTCCCGGCCAGCCTCTGGTCTCTCCTCCCGCCGCCCAGCTCCCCCGACACCGACCGGTGCCTTATCGGAGACCTGTAAACCCTGTGGGCAACCTCGTCGTCATCTTCTCTGGTGAGATTCGTCGTCGTGGAGACGCTCTCGCTGAGGCTGCAAATCTCCGAGATCTCTTCGTTGACGTTCTTGAGCTCCGAGACCTTCTTCTCGATCTTCTCGCCGTCGAGCCTGAAAATGGGGAAAACTGGTTTTGGGCTCGGCGTCATAGTAGTAGCAATCGTACTGGTACTTTTGTCTCCATCGTCTTCTTCGTTTTCTTCTTCTAGTTCTGGGTCGCTTACAATGGGTACGGTTTTGTGTACTTTGGGCTTCAGTCTCGGGGTTTCCGACAGAACTTCCTTGACGGTCTCTTCCTCCGTCGGCGGCGGCGCTCTGCTCTCTCCGGCGTCGGATCGAGAATGGGTAATGCGATTTTTTTGTTTGGGGGTTGAGGAGGCTGTGCTCGGACAGCAACCCATCGTGTTGTCGTTTTCACACTATTTCTCTCTTTGTTTTGGTCTGTGTGAATTGGATCAGAATGGCATTGTCGTTTTTCCGGTGAGGGACTGGATCAGTGGGACTGCGAAAGTGAGAAGTGTGGAGGCCATAAAAGGACTGGTTTGGCCGTGGAGTTAAGAGGATGGAAATAGATAGAATAAATAAAAAGAGTGGGAATTGAGGGGAGGGGGGCGTCAATCGAATGCATTTATTGCATTATTATTATGGGGTCGTTCATATACAGTTTACATACACCTATATAAAATGCTTACGACAAAAAAAAGAAAAAAGAAAAAAAAAAGGAAAGATGTATTTTTTAGTCTTCACATGAATTACGTTACGTATAGTCGTATATTGAAATTAATGGAATGCGTAAACTTTTTCATTAAAAACATTGAATATTTACATTTAACAAAGGAGAAAATTTATGATAGGGGTCGTACTTTTTCCTTATCAATATAGTGCAAATTTAGACCACCATATTATAAATTGATGGCTAAAGAATCAGATTGTGTTGTCTATAAAAATTAAAATAAAAACACCCAAATCTGATAACAATCTTCCATTTCATAAAAAAAAAAAAAAAATTATATTTGTCAATTTTTGCCCATAATAAATTTCAACCATTAACTTGATTAAACTTCTAATCTTAAGCTTTGATTTAAACATATGTCCAAACCCTAATTTAATCAAAAAATATTTTTTTACCCTTTCAAAAATGTTAACGAATAGTAAAAATGGACAATTTAGTAATAAAAAAATAACTTTTATCCATTATTTCAACTCTCTTTCTCTCTTACCAATCAACATAAAGAATTACCATAATCTTCTTCGTCTCTTATATTCTCTATTCAATTTGGTAAGAAAGAAAGAAAATAAAATGAAAAGATAAAAGATAAAAAAAAAAAGTGAAGAAAAACAAGAATGTTGATTTTTTTATGCTGTTTAGTATTATGGGAGGAAAGAAAATAAAAAACATGCTAACAACTATTTTATTGATTATATAATATTAATTTAGCTTTAAAATAGTGACAAAAAGGTCACTTAAGTCAGAAATGAGTGAATTTAAATTTTTTTTAACAAATGTTAAAAAGACTAAAATTAGTGGCCATATTTTAATTCCATTTTTCTCTTTTATTTTTCTTATTAAATAATCTACTCTATCATTTGTCATCTAATAATCTCACGCCTACTTTTTTTCTCTCTGTTTTCCATTTTATCAAAAATAACATAACTCTATCAATCCCTCTTACCGTCGGTCTTACCAATACCACAAGTCTCTCCATTATGTTTGTCATGTGTTTGTTTGTTTGTTTTTTTTTTTTTTTTTTTTTTTTTCTGTAAGAATTGTTGACACAAGATCTTCTTTAATAACTGGTCTCGTGATCTGTGCTTTCATAATTTCTTAGAGGTAAGGTTAAGGAGCAGCGCATGTTATGATGGGGGAGCACGTAAATTTCGCTTCACAATCACCGGGTACATGTGATTGACATGTGAGTGAGTCCAATCAGTATGGAACGCTACACCACTGCACATTCACAGCAGCCCTTTTTTTTATTATTAAAAGAATACACATTTAAGATAATTTAATTCATTAATTTAAATTTTTAATTTAAATTGAGATATAATTTTATATAATAATTTTTTATTATAATAAAAAAAT